TAGAAATGTTAACAGTTGCATTTTAGCATAGCTTCGCTTTTTTTTTCCCCCAGAGCAGGGAGTAAGTTGCTTTGGCAACTCAGTCTTCTGAATAATTCTGTAGAAATAGGAAGAGCTTGCTTGCTCTTTTGCCACCGAAACGTTATTCATAGAAATGAGCTCCTTGGTTGGCTCGCCGCTTAGGCACCCTGGCGATCACGGGCCAACAACTACAGTATTTGTGTCGAAGCACACAAACTGGTGAAGACCCAAGACTCGGACTTCCGCTGACACTGTAAAGTCTGAGGTCTTCTCGTCAGTCATGGTGGATCACTTTGCCTGGAAAAGGAGGTTTTTCATACTGCTCCCAACGCTTTCCTTTCACAGTAAATCACATTGAAATCTCTGTGCTGGATCCGCCATCTGGAAGCAGCAAGGAGTGAATAAATCATGATTAACTTTAGTGGCGTTAATGGTGGTGACTCGGCTCTTAGGCGGGATCCAATCCTTTGAAAGAAATCTTTACTCCAGCTTTCAAGCTTGCGATGGGAAACTTTCCTTTTTTCTCTTTGATCGGGATTCTTGAATTTTCCACGCTGTTTTTCGAGTGCGGGAGAAGAAGCCAACGTGGTGACACGTCCACCTTTTCCCATTTCTCGAGAAGCTGGTGGTGGCCGGCCCTCCCTGACAAGAGAACCCGCCTCTGGACAAGCGGGTGGCGCGGGATGCTTCCGGGAGCCGGGCGAGCGAGGCGTTTGGGGAAGCGATGGATCGCGCACCCCGCAATGCGCTTTCCAGTCCTTGTCAGCTCCCGAAGTCGTTTCACTCTAGCTTCCTGGGTGCCAAAATTACGTCGCCGAAGTCCCGGAGCGGGGGAGGGGGAACAGAGAGACCCAGTGACGGGGACAGCTCGCCCCCGCGGACTTGCCGGTGCCAAAGGCGCAGGTGCGCGTAAATGGAGGGCTCTCCCGGATCCGGAGAAAGGGGAACTGCCAAAGTGCACTACGCTCTCGAGCAGATCTTTGGCGACAGAGGCAGGGAAGGGAAGGGAAGCGCCCGCGCCTGGCCCGATCTCCGTCGGTTCTTCTTCTGTCCGCAGCACACTCGCCAGGGACAGTGAGTGAGCCCTCTCGGCTCCTTGGCGGAACAAGCGGCAGACAAGTGTGCAGCCGCTCAGCGTCGTTTACCTGCAACATCGTCTCCGGTTAGTTTATGTACATTGGTGATATTGCTACTTCTGGCATATATAAAGTATTCATATATCAGTTGCCGCTCCCTTTCCGACAAATCTTCGCTCCCCTCTCGGACTCCACGCGAATATTCTCCCGCCGGCATTTAGGCCACCAGGCGCCTAGGAGAGCCCCGTGGCCTCCCGCCGCCTGTCCGCTTTCGGAAGGGAAAGGAAGCGGCTGTGTTTGTGTCCCCCTCCCCGAAGGACTGGAAGGCAGGCGGCCAGAGCGATGGCAGCCTCCTCCCCGGACCGTCCCCAAGAGCAACCCAGCGGGATACACGGGCGGGAAGGAAAGGCCGGAGCTCCTCCTTCGCCACGGCCAGAAAAGAGGCGCCGCCGACCGGGAAGCTCTCTGCGCGCTCGCGCCTCTTCCGCGGCCACCTGGGCATCGCGTTGTCCTCTCGGGCCCGGAGGAACAGGAAGAGCAGGGGAGGGACGCGGGACTCCTCAAAAGCCAGGCCTCCGCCTGTCTGCCCTCGCGGGTCGGCGTTTTCTCATTCCGCAAGAATCACGACCTCCAGTTTAAAGGGCGGATTATGTGATTGTTACTTAATAAGAGGCAGTTCCATGAAGTTTGGGGGTTCTGTCCGCCCCGTCTCCGGCCTGCTTTCTGACTCAGAATAACGCGCTCTTCTTGGCGGAGTTGGGCGAATCCGGAGAGCCTGGTGCCGCGGTTGGCAGCCCCTCCTGGGGCGAGCCCTGGATCCCACCCCGGTGGGAGGAGGCCGGCCCGGGCCAGGGCGCGGGTGAGTGAGCGCCCCTCCGTTGAGCTCCGGGAGAGTCCGCGTCGCCCGCCCGGATTAGTGGCTGCTTAACACCTGCCAGCCGCTCCGCTGCTTGCTAGGTGGCCGGCTATGAAAACTCCCACAGACGGCGGCAGGATTCACTTCCTCGCTTCAGAACAGGCTCTGCGACTGATTTCGTACGTGCAGGTGGATCCCGGAGGAGGCAGGCTGGGTCGAAAGGAGCTCTTTTGCCAGTAAGCCTGCGTGTGATTTCCCCTAGAAAGCGCAAAGTCAACCATTCGGTTTCAAAAGGTAAACCAGCGGTTTCCACTCAAAACCTAGTTCACGAGCCAATTAATTACACTTCCTGGAAATAGACTCCTAAAATCAGCAGGATAGTCGGCGCAACCCTGCGCAGTCTACTCAGAAGTAAGTCCTATTGCCTTCTTCATTGGGACTTATTTCTAGGCAAAGTTTATCTAGAATCGCAGCCTCTGTGAATCCCGTGAATCCCGAGCCTCAAGGCTCACCGAAAGCCTTGGCATTTGGGATTGCTTTTTCAAAGGCGAAGGAAGATTCGGATGATCCCATCGAGAACACGTCTATTCCCGGATGAGACGCCGCCAATGTCCAGGCTCGCCGCTGACGGGCACTGTAGCTGAGACCGGCGAGTCCAGGCGGCTTTCAGGGCCCTTCATTCTAGTGGGTTTGCCCCGAAGGAGGACAGGAGCCTAGCTGAACACATTGGGTGACACGATATGGAAGGGAAAGGTTTTAGTGACCGACTGCTGCCCGTAAATACCCGGGGCTTTCTCCAGCCGACCCCACTTCCCAGCTCTTAGAAGTTTGGCACCAGCCTCCCTCCGAAATGTATCTTTATTTCAACAGAACGTACATAAAATTATTAGGCCTCGGCCTGCGCGCCACAACAATCTCCCAGGGAGATGTAGCTGAGATCGACAAAACGAAACAGCAAAATCGGCAAGCCGAATCCAGTCGAAGCAGAACATTTCGAAGGCGAGGTGCTTAGGTACACAGGATCGCAAAGATTTCGAAAGGCGGCTGGAAGACGCGCTCGAGGAGCAACTTTCCCAGTGTGGTTTGCCGGCATGTCAGCGGGAAGGAGACCTTCTGGCAAAGAACGCCCCCCTCCCCTCCGTCGTCCCGTGAAGACGCAGCGAACTATGATGGAGCGCTCTGATCTCGCCCCCCCCCTCCAGCGGGAGAGCGCCTGGCCTTCAAGCCTGCGCGACGGGGCCACGGGGGTGGGGGGGCGCGACTGGCTCCACCGAACGATCAGCGCTCCCCGCCGCCGCCGCCGCCGCCTTCTCCCCTCTTCCTTGAGGGGGTCCTGCGGGCAGGCGTCGATGCGGGCCCGCTTTCACCTGGATGGGGCAGCCGGAGGGGCAAACAGGGCAAGGGCCTTGCGGGCTTCCAGAAGAGCTGAAGCCTCCCTGCCGCCAACGACAGCCCGAGAGGTCAGAAACCAGAGTCTGGTCTGGCCCTCTTCGGAAGGCAGAACGGGCCTCGCGGGGCCATCACTTTTAAGTTTGCTGGGGGGAAATCCGTGCTCCTCTGGCTTAAAATACACCCGACTTCAAGACCTTTTCTTGGCCCATCCTGCAGTCCAGCCATTACAGACTTTGGACTTGTAGTATCGCCCTTGCTTCAAAATGTGACTGCTTCGTCGGTCTTGTTGCTTTTGAGGATTCCCCGGTTCATTCCGCCGAGTGGGACCCTGGATTGCTGCCTCCCAACCTTTGCCTTAAGGGCGCCCTTTGTCTTTACATCCCCCCCCCGTCCCGTCCTTCACCTCCAAACTAGGGAGAAAATGCTGATTGTCCGCTCCTTCCCTTGCAAGTATGTATGTATTTCTTCGTATCTCCCTAGGAGGAGGACATGCTTTTTGCTTCCTTAGGCAGCTCTTCTAGTCGGACAGCTTGAGAAGCATTTGTGTTTTATTTTGTCTATTTTAAAGAATTGTTTAAGAACAAACTTCTTTGCACTTTCCGAATTGAAAATTACTGCAGTAAATTGCAGTCCTAAAAGGCACTGTGAGTTAATCCACCAGGACCGCGAATCCGGAATGCAGAAGCTTTGCAAGAAAGGCAAAACGCGGCTGAGAATTGCGGGACTTCCAGCCTCGTGACTCCACAAGGCCAAGTGGTCAGCACGAAGTCTCACGCCGCTTTTAAGGCTCCGATGAAAGTGAGCCAGCTGGCCCCGAGCCCCCGCCGACGGCCCAGCAGCGTGCGTGTTTCCTTGGAAGTAAGCCGCCTTGCTATCAACAGACCTTATTTTCGTTCTCTCTTACACCATCCGCTGGGGGAAAAAAAACGAAAAACGAAAACGACCCTCTACCTCGGTGGGACCGGGAGGAAAACTTCTGGGCGGGTGCCAGGACGGGCGCCTGCCCTCCTCTGAGGGCGCCAGGCCGGCTCCGGGGGGGAGTCGCCTGTGCGCGGCTGAGCGGCGGCTTAGCCCCCTCGCCCACCGGCTTCCCGGCCGGCCTAGGGCCCTCCTGCCTCTGGCCGCTGAGCTCTTCTTCCCAGGGTGTCCCCCCGGGGACCCTTCCCTGCTCCACAGCCGCGCCCGGCCGACGCACCAGAGGGCCTTGGGACGAAAACGCCCCGCGGTCCCCCGAAGCGGCCGCCAAAGGGCGGGCTCGTGGTTCACACGAAGGCATCATGGGCACAGAGCCGTTCCTTTTTAACAACATTGTCCTAATATTTTTTAAAAGTTTATTTCGTGAAGTATGCTTGTCATCCTCCCCTTTACTATTGTACTTATTTTGAAAAATCATGCCTCAGAAACGTCTGCGGGCGACTTCCAAAAACGCCAGCTGGGAGAGGGCAAGCAAGCACGGGGTCGCGGAGTCGCTCCACTTGGATGGGACGGTTTTATTCTCTTTGTTCGCCCGGGGCTCCAAACTTTCGGGAAGAGGAGGGCGAACTCGTTCCGAAAACCAGGACTGGTCCAGAGAAGCGGTTGGAGGGCTGCCTAAAGTGGGAATCAAGGAAGGAAGGAAGGAAGGGGCCCTCACGGACTCCGCCCGCGCCACTTACCGTCCTGCTGCTGGGTGTCGCTGCCGCTGGTCAGCCCCGGCGACTCCAGGAGGCTCCGGCCACTTTCCCCGACGCCCTCCTCGGTCTGAGCGGCTACCAAGTCTCCTGCTTCTTCCAGATCCAACAGGTGGCTGACGGAGAAGTTCTTTTTGGCCTGGAGGCTGTCGAGGTTCCCGGGGCTCTCCAGCCGGGTGGGGAGGACGGCCGGTTGCCTCTCCAGGACGTGGACATAGCTGGAAGTCATGGCTTTTGCCCCCCCCAGGCAAAGGAGGGGGGAAGAATGAGGAGGGGGGCGCGCGAGAGAAGGGGAGAAGCTGGAGGGGCTCCCCGGAGGGAAACGTCGCGCAAAACCCCGCCGCCACCAGGGCCCCCGCCTTCGGAGGAAAGCCGTCGAGGAAGCGCCAGGAAAAGAATCCGCACCGAGCGCGAAGCCCAGAGATGGGGAGGGGGGGACCTCGCCGAGGAGCAAAGGGATCCCTTCCTCCGCTGGAACCCGGCCGGGCTGAAAGCTGTCTTCCGAGGCCTCCGGCCCGAGCTGCCGGGCTTTTGTGGGCGCGCCACCCCTTAGACGGCCGGACGAGAAGTGAAGGCGGGCAGGCGGGAGGGGCAGAAGTCTTGCAG